AAACCTGTGCAATATTTGCAACGTGTATGGATTGAGTGTTAGGTTGTTGGAGTAGTGTCATGAGGTGTTGATACTTTTCATGAGTGATTTGAGGATTGGTATTATCAGGTTGTTGTTGAGCACGATCAGTTGCACCATCATCATTCACATTGAATGCAAGATTACTGGTATGGACTTCTGGTACTCATGCGTGATACCCTGGTGGATATCCATGTAGTTGATAGCATGTCTCTATGGTATGATTGGAACGACCACAATGTGTACAAATTATACTCCCACGACCTCCACTGAACCTACCACGACCTTGACCTCGACCATTCCTTCTAGCAAATTGATTGAAGGTTCTTCGTGGATTAAAACCAGTTGTTGCATGAGTATTATTGAAACCAACAAAGCTCTGTGGATTGCTTAAAATACCAGCATTTGAATCACAGCTAAGTTGCCTTTCCTGTTGTACAATCATTGAAAAGGCTTTGTTCACATTAGATAGAGGATCAATGAGCATGATCTGTGATCTAACAGATGCATACTGGTCATTCAATCCTTTAAGAAAACAGATTGTGTGGTCCTTATTGCGATAGTCTCGCATTTTCAAGATCACTCCACACTCACAGGGAGGATCACATTCACAGTTAGGAAGCAGTTTCAAGTTCTTAAGCTCATCCCACATGGTTTTGAGCTGAGTAAAAAATTCAGTTACCGTAGAGTTTCCTTGATGCAACTTATAGACTTCCTCTTGAAGACCAGAGACTCTGAATATGTCAGTTTGCGAAAAACAATCACGTAGATCAAGCCATGCGTCCCTTGCATGTTCGATCCATAATATGGATTTTGCAATTCCATCAGATATTGATCTGTGAATCCAGGCCATCACCATAGTGTTGCACATTTGCCATTGAGGATAAACTGGATCATCTGTTGCTGGAGGATTGATGGAACCATCAATGAGGCAAATCTTGTTTTTCTAAAACAAGGCAACTGTCATACCTCTGGCCCAGGTGTGGTAGTTGCTTCCGTTCAGCGGTGGAGATACAAGAATCAAAGAAGGATTCTCATTAGGATGCAAGAAAAGAGGATGAGAAGGATTGGTATTAAAATCCAAAGCAAAATCAAGATTCGCCATTGTTGTAGGTTGAAGCTATGAAGAGAAGAATCAAGAAAGATGAAGAAAGCAAAGAACAAGGAAGGTGAACGAAGGCAGAATACCAGAGCTCATGTGAGCTCTGATACCATAACAGAAACTACACGTTCCATGATATGGATTGAAAAACTGAATATTGATTCTGGAAAAATTTAATAAGTATTACAGAAGGTGTTAGCAATATATAGGTGAGCTTTATGAAGCTTCACACCATAAAATAACTAACTATTTTACTAACAGAGAAACTAATCAGAATAACTAAAAGCTAACAAACTTCAGTTGCTATCTATCGTGATTATTGGCTGGTGCATATACTAAGGACACTGCATGAGGTGATCCTACTGCTGCAGCTTGAGCTGGTGCAAGTGATAGCTGAGATGTTACACCGTGAGCCGTTGTATGTGATGGTCATCGGTTTGATTCTGATAGCCGACTTTTCCCTATTTGTTTTTTTTTACCTAATTGATAATGTGTCTTTTCTTTATTTAAGAAATTGGGGGAATTCGATCTCTTTCGATCTCAATTAACTTCACCCAAAAACTTTATTAGGAGAAAATAGATTAATAATTTTATATTATATTTCTATATCATGCATTGTGCCCATTACCAGTAAAGTAAGGGATGGGAAAAGGAAACCATAACTGATTCATTCATCACATACAAATATACAATTTTGCTGTTGCCTTGGGCTTTCTCTTTTCTCAATTTTGGGCTCTCACCTCACTTACCACGTTTTAAGCATTAGCCCTTTTTTATCTCTGGGCTAATGATCACAGTTCTCAATCCAACTTCATTAGATATAAACCTATGAAAGAGCTATTTGGTAAAACGCACGAAACTATTTCCATAATTAATAAGCAAGTATTAAATTCTTTTGCTTTCATGAATATATCATTGTTTATACTGGACTCTATCAATTCCCCACAAATAGTACGGGCCTTATGTCTGGGGGAGACCTACTTATTTTTTTATTTTATTTTTGTATAATATGGGGAGACGGGAGACCTACTTATTGAGTACATAGAAATATTACTTGAATTTTGATCATTTATGACATTTATTAAATTCAAGTCCATATTAACATATTTATTGCTTGAAGAATCATCAATTAACTTTTATTAAATTCTACGGAAATTATTCATTAAAATCAAGTCAACTTTACTATATAATAATAATAATAATAAAGATAAAATATTAGAGAAATATGAAATTATTAATGTAACCTCAGCTTAATCTTGGTTGAATTAATTTTTTACATGGTATCAGATATGACTAAGTGGTCATGACTCATGAGTTCGATCATCACCGTCTTCATTCTATTAATAAAAAATAAAATATTGTGAAATTTATTTGCGTGGCTGAATCTGATATATCATCTATTCTATAAATCCAATAAACTTTTATGTAAAGAGAGATGTTGAATTATTTCTTTACAATAAACACTATCAAAGTTAACTTTAAAAATAAATATCTATTGGAGTTGACTTACCTAACCAAATTTCTACCATTGGATTCGAATCTAGGATTCCATTAATGATCAGTTATCCATAACATTAATAAAATAAAAAGGGACAAAATCGCCTAGTTAAACCAGAAAATGGGGTGAACCGATCAGATGTATAGTCTATTTAGCTTACAAAACTGGCTAAAGTAAATAATAGGTAAAGAATAAAGAAATTATCAAACTAATGTCAACTAGTTTTAACCAGTTTTTCTTTTAGTTCAACCAGAAAACTTTTTTAGCGGGGTCAAGGTAGGGGTGTTCATCAATCGATCCAAACCGATTCAAACCGCAAAAACCAAACCGAAAAACCGATAACCGAATAAACCGAAAATCGAAAATTCAAAAACTGAAAAAAAAACCGCAAATTTTAATTGGATTGGATCGGTTTTTGGATGAGTTGATAAAAACCGATTCAATCCAAACCGATCCGATATATTAATTCCCCTCTACCTAATTGGTCTTTTCCCCAATCATAGCCCAAAAATTTCTAAACTCAAGACTCATTAACTCATCAACTAAACCCAAGAAAAAACCTATTCACGTCTCATCAACAAAATTTCATCTGTGTAGAGCTTCATATCTCATTGTAAAAAAAAACAATAGTATTGTTTACTGATATTTTTGTATTTAAAAAAAATACTATAATATTGTTTACTGATATTTTTGTATTTAAAAAAAAAATTACAAAACCAATATATACAATATTTGCACAATAATCATGAAACTAATTTTAGGATATTCAAAAAACCGAAAACCGATCCAATCCAAACCGAAAAAAATTGGATTGGATCAGATCGGATTTGAGAAAAAATACAAACCGAATGGATGATTACATGATCAAACCAAAGAGATTGAATCGGATAAGTTTTGTTTCCAAATCCGATCCAATCCAGACCACCAACACCCCTAGGTCAAGGCACAATATATGAGGCCTGCATATGAGTAAGTCATCAAGAGATGATTTGTTCCCTTTTATTTTTTATGTATCCTGTAAGCTTAAATATTTTACTCAGCATTTATCTCGAACTAAGAAGTATAATCTCTTCTTAACTAAGCGTAAATATTTTACTTAATATCGTGTGTGGAACTTGCAAGCATGAGTAACATGCTGGAACAGTAATCAAATGTCATCTTTTGACAAAATATTTATTCAAATGTCATGCAAGTACTTTTTACCAGACTGCCACATAAGCATAATTCGCTATGACTGGTAGAAAATTACGTTCGCCAATGATTTTATGACACGTAGCTCACTTTCGCAGGAAAAAGCTGACGTGTCATAATTTGCTATCAGTGGTAGCGAATTTGGTCTGCAATATGACCACGTGTCACGAAATCATTGACCACGAAATTCGCTACCAGTGGTAGCGAATTACGACACGTGGCAGTCTGGTAAAAAATATTGTTCGCGTGGCATTTGGATAAATTTTTTGACTAAACATAATATTTTAGTCACTGTTCCCAACATGCTAGTTATTTTTTTCTATTTTATTTTAGAGAAAACTTCATTTTCACCCATTGTGATTTTGTGATTTATCATTTGACTCCTTGTGGTTTTAAACTTATCAGTTAGACCGGCTATGCTTGGATATTTTGTCATTTAACTCCCTATGGTTTCAAATTTTTACTTCTACTAAAAAAGTCCATTTTTTCGACGGAAAAATTTTGTCGAAAATGGTATAAATTTCGTCGAAAACTTCATTTTGGACGAAAAATCAATGGAATTCCGTCGAAAATTGTTGTGATGGTTTTCGACGAAAAACGAATTCCGTTGAATTTTTTTTACGGAAAATCAATGAAATTTTGTCGAAAACTGATGTAAAAAATTTCGACGAAAAATAAATTCTGTCAAAAATTTGCAACGAAAAATCAATGAAATTTCGTCGAAAATTGTTGTAATGGTTTTCAACGAAAAACAAATTCCATTGAAAATTTTCGACAGAAAATCAATAAAATTTCATCGAAAACTGATGTCAAAATTTTTGACGAAAAACAAATTCCGTAAAAATTTGCAACGAAAAATCAATGAAATTCTGTCAAAAATTGTTGGTATGATTTTCGACAAAAAACGAATTCCGTCGAAAATTTTGCACAAAAAATTAATGAATTTATGTCGCAAACTGATTTAAAATTTTTTTACGGAAAACAAATCTCATCGAAAAATTTTAGAATTTTTGTAAAAAATTTCTGTCTACAAAATTAATACCAATTTTCTATGATGCACTTGATAAAAAAATATAATTAATTTAAACAACATATCAAAATTAAATGTCCTTGATCATTATATTAAATGAACAAAAGTTCATATCATGATATTAAGCTAAATAATAAAAAAGACTTATACAATTAGTTAGATAGTGGTGTACAATAAGTATATATTGTAACCTTAAAAAATTAATAAATAAAAATTAACAAATCAATACACAAAGCAAAACTGACTTCAGAATTCTTGTATATGTATAATATAAATTAAAATTGGCACTAATTTATTTGTGGTGCAGTCTTCCAATTGCTCATCCTTCAAATGACAAAAATTGAACTATGTATCAGCTTCCTTGACAATAAGCACATTTTTCAATCTTATCCCAAAATTTCCATCCCGCAGTACCAAGTTCTGAAAAAAAAAAAACAATTCATATGCATAATCCATAATAAATGTATTTAAGTAGAATTGAACATTTATGGCTTTGAAATGATCAGTAAATAAATTGAAAATGATTCAACACATTATAAATAATAGGAAAAGACAGAAAGGAAAACTCATCAAAAAATATGGTTGAAAGCTTACCAAAACTTAATCCAATTATGGAAAGAATTCCACTTCTAGATCTTTGGGCCCAGTCACAAAATAATCTACAAAAAGAATAGTATTAAATCATGGATTTCAATTCAATATCCAGGTGGAACTTCTATCATGAACACTATTGTGGAGAGTAGGCTACATAGAGCTAAATGGAAAACTTTCATGTACACAATGTGATAATGGCCCATCAAATCTTACTGTTAAGAAATAGTAGACATAAATGCTAATTCATCAATCTTACCCTTCGGGAACTAAAATGACCTGAGCACATACCTCATCTGTGTGAGGTTCAGGCTACAAAACCAAATTTGAGATATCGCAAAACGCGAATGAATATTTGATCAGCTCAAGCTTGAGATTTGGTCAAACTCGAACCTAAGAACCAAGTAAATTATAATTAGGCTCAGAATTTCTCAACCACCAGCTCTAATCACAACTATACACCTTACCCACAAATCTAACTAAAACAATAGAATTGTCTTAAAAAAAATACAAAAAGACCATGGAATAATGTTATGCCTTGTAACCAGCCATCCAAAATGTAATTAACAAAAGTATATGAAATGAAAAATTACCACAATTATAGATAAAATATATTAAATGCCTATGCGCCTAATAAAATCAATGTTATTAGAACCGGACCGGTCATTGACCCGGTCGAAGTACCGGGTCACTGGGTCAATGGTTTAACCGGTGAGTCACTGGTTGAACCGCATGAACCGGATATATATATAAATTTATATTTTATACTTAATTATATAATAAATATATTAAATGGTGCCATCTACACAATAACCTGATGTAGTTTAGTGATATTTGCTATGTTGTTTATCCTTAATGTAAGAGGTTCGAATCCCATTACATGGGGTTTTTGAAATAATTCTCTTAACTTAAAAGTTATATAATAAATATATTAAATGGTGTAAATTATTCAACAAGTGATGGTGGCGTAGTGGTAGGAAATGGCTCTCCTCACTCCAAGGTACTGGGTTTGAATCCCACTTGTTGCAAAAAAAGATTTTGTAACTAATTTTGAAAAACCGGTTTGAAGAGAAAACCAGTACCGGTTGAACCGCGGTTTATGACCGGGTCACTGGGTCAATGCCGGGTCTATTACTTAAGCGGTCCAATGTCATAATCGGACCGCTCGGCCGGTTTTAATAACACTGAATAAAATAACTTATCGTGACCTTGATGATTATTAGTGCTATAATAAGTATAAGATACTAACTATTAAATAATTTTGAAAAGATTTGACGAATATATCAATAATCTAAGGATTTAGAGTGAACTTGTTTTTCTCATCATCCGTTTAGCTTTCAAATTAGAATATATTGTCATTTTTTTATTTTCTTTCTTTCAAATTTAAGTTTTCTTTTAATATTAGTGTCATATCTGTATATATTCATATACGAGTCAAGAAAGAAACACATAGAATTCAGTAAAATATTAATTTATCCATATCAAGCATGGATCTAACTTGTATACATTTGTCATACAATAAATCCAATATTCTTATATCCTATGTGGTTATAAAATAAGTCGTGTCACACACATAGTATTAGTATAGGTTCTTTTATGAACCTCATCTTCATAACATAGAATATGTAGGTATCTAGTTAGGTAAAATTAAATATATCTAAAATTATAAATGAAATATGCATAATTAATTCAAGTAAAATTCAATTTATATAGATGAAACGAAAAAAGAATTTAAAATTGAATAAATATATAATCAATTTAAAAGTATTTTAATTCAAAGTTTAAAGGAATTAAAGTTAGGAGGGAAGACTAAAAAATTAATTTTGAATATATATATATTTATAATTTAAAAGAATTATAAATTTAATTCTTAAAAGAAAAGAAATTAAGAATAACATATATTATTTTTTAAGGAAAAATAGATTAAAAAGTTAAACTATATGTAGAAACATATAGTCTGATTTTACATATGAAGACAGATTAACTAATTATTATATAAATCCCATTTAATCAATAAGTTAATACGTGAGTCAATCTTGAACCTTTATTATAATAACTAATTGTCTCCGGTATATCAGAGCTCATATCTACAAAGAAAAGACTCATATAAGTACAGTTTATTCACAACTTTAACTAGACTTCCCAGAAAGATATTAAGAAGCAATTACTGTAAGAGGGTGACAATCCAATACGGTTTCACATTTATAGGAATATCACAATTGCATATGGCCCTTAATAGCTAATGTAGATAGATTTTTTAAAAGGGAAATAAAATATGAAGCCTATAACAGTTGACATATAGATCACTCAAAATGGACAAGAACTTACATGTAAAAATTACTTACATGGAGTGGGTCACCAGATACAGAACTTCTCCCTTCTTCAAACGAGCAAATGTATAAATTGGCTTTTTTAGACCCTTGTCAGGAACAATAAAGATGACAGAAAAGTACTCCCTAGTTTCATAGCTACTTTAAAGCCATCATATTGAATTTTCTCACATACAACTGCAAGAGAGCATACAAATAACTTAAAAAGTTAACAGACAAAGCTTATAGCTGATAATTTTCTACAACATTGACAAAGCCAATAATGAGACTGAACATTAAAAGTAAACAATTCCTTACAGGCTTATATGCACAACATCTCCTAAACCACCAATAAATAAATCAAAATTAGTTGAAAGAAAATGGCAATTTTCAAAAACAAAGATATGCCTTTTTTACAGAAACGTGAATGCCAGAGGTATACTTAAATTGCATCCTTTAAAATATGCTGTTTAAAGTAGTTAAACATACAAGAATTAGGAAGTCATTACTCAGCCTATTCTCACAATCAATATCCTTATCCATACTATCCCCACGATTTGCACTGCAAAATTATATGTAATTCATAAGTGGTTAAAATTGAATCCTGGGTCCCCCTATCCCCCGAACAAAACCCCAACAAGTTTAAAAGTAAGAATTTAAACCTTCTTCCAATAACAAATCGCACAGTGATGCCTTTTGCATCATCTATTTTCTTCAAAGCTGCACCTATAAAGGCATTGCTTTAAAATTAAAATATCTTTTGAACGATCACATAATTAAACAGTATAGCCACAAAAGAAGTTAAGAAACTTAACAACACCAAAGGACATCATTAATAAAATCACATGGCAATTAAGAACTTCTTGCTGTTTTTTAGAAAAGAAAAAGAAATGGAGTACACATAAGTAAATTTAATTCACCTGCAGGCTATGATTTTCAATGTGTCATCCACTGATATTGCAGATTGTCCCTAGAATGATTAAGTTGCGGTTAACTTAGCTAGAACAAGAAGTAGACGTGTCAAACTATATGTCCCTCACAAAGTGATCTCTATAGGTCACAGTAAACCACTTCCTAGATTCCTCTCTAGACATAAGCTGAAACAAGACATAAAAAGCAAAACCCATGTACCCAAAATGCCTAATTTGAAAAACCCACCTTCAAAATTGAAAATTGAGGTCTTATAAAAGGTCAAGTTACCAGTGTTTCAATTAGTTGTAAATTAATAGCTTTCCAATTGTCTCATTTCAACCCAAATCAGCACCACCACAATAATAACCTCCAAATAAATAAACAAATGCAATTCAACTTTAATACCCTTTCGAAATGAGCCAGGTAGTACCACACGAAATCATTTATTCATCAACATGTTTTGCAGCCACAGCCCCAAGAGCACACAAACCCTGTCGACGGAATTCATTTATTCATTCCAAGTTTAAACCTTTACACCTATCGACCACACAGAAACATAAAACATGGTAAAGGGGTAGTAATTTTAGAGAGAGAGAGAACCTAGAATCAACAGAAGTAGCATCGCAAACCTTCACAATCTGGGAGCAGAGAGTGAGATCGTTGCTGTTGCGGGTCACATGGTAAGACTTGAAGAGAAAAAAAGCAATGCCCCCAATTGAGAGTGAACTCCCGAACGTGTTTCAAAGAAGAGGGATAGTTAAATTTTTTAGGGGAAAGCAACAATAATGATAGTCCAGTCACAATATGGCTGAAAAAGTTTGGGAGGAAAGTGAGAAAATTTCACAAAAATGTATCTTGAAATTTATTTTATTCCAGAACCTTCGACGGAGTACAAATTCCGTTGAAAACCAGATTTATAAAAAAAAAAATATAAAATAAACAAATTTATACTTTTACAACTATATCTTAACACCGTTAATTTCTGCCTACCAAAGGTTATCATTTATTGTGAATTAGTAATTAATTAATGAGTTTAATTTGCGAAAATGATAACCGTTGATTGGCAGAAATCAACGGTGTTAAGATATGATTGTAAGAGGTTGTAAAAAAAAGGTTGTAAGTATAACCTTCCTATATATATATATATATATATATATATATATATATATATATATATATATGACAAAATGATTTGTAATTTGACTGCATATAAACATTGATGTAGTCACCTAAAAACTACGTCATTTTGGGTTGGATAAAGGAAGTTCGCATTTAAAGTTATTTGTAGAAAATGGAAATATTATATTTATTTCTATATGATTATAATTCTTCATAAATATAAAACATTTAATATGAGGAATATAGCGATACAAAAGTGAAAATAAATATAAAACATTAAATATGAGCAATTATAATCATACAAAGACAGAAATAAATATAATATTTCCATTTTCTATAAATAATTTTGAATGCGAACTTCCTTTATCAAACCCAAAATGACGAAGTTTTTATGTGACTGCATCAATGTTTATATGCAGTTATACAAAAGTGAAAATAAATATAAAATATTAAATATGAGAAATCATAACCATACAAAGGTGGAAATAAATTTAATATTTCCATTTTTTTCATTTAATTTTGAACGCGAACTTCCTTTATCCCTCCTAAAAAACACATATTTCCATAACTATTGTGCAAAACAGTTTTAAAGAGAAAAAAAACCAAAATACAATCAAATAAATGTAACAAAAAGGGAAAAATATTTCTGCAGTTACTGCAGATAAGTTATTTGCATTTATTCCCAAAATGATGTCGTTTTGATATTGAAATCTGAAAAAATTATAATATAAAGACAATTATAACCCTGAAATAAAATAAAATTACAAAAACACCATGATTTTCGCCGCAAAACGACGTCGTATTGGGCTTACTGCAAATAACTTATCTTCAGTAACTGCAGAAAAAGCGAACTCATTTATTAAATCGTTCAAAAAAAGTAACAATCACAAACATAAGGGATATTATATTTACAATTTCTTACAACTAAATCTTAACCATCGATTTACGCCAATCTTACAGTTAAAATTTATTGAGTCAAACTTATTAATTAATTATTAATTTTCAATAAATAATAACTTTCAGATCGGCAAAAATCAAGGTTAAACTTTGATTATAAGAGGTTGAGCAAAAAAAATGGTAAATATAATCTCCCTCCATAACCATTATTTAAAAAGGGAAAAATATTTATCATTTTAAATGATATAACTTTGTGTTATTCTTTAATGAAACTACGTTGTTTTAGTGTGAAAATCCTGCCTAGGTTCATATGACAAGTACAATTCTCATGGAGCCAGAGTTGCTCTGTAAGGGTTGTTATGAGAGATAGAATATTGCTATATAATTTCACAAGTTATAAAATAATAGTTGAAATCACATCGATAATTTATCAAAAGTTTATACAGAAATTTTTTGACGGAATCTGATTAGCTTAGAAAATTCCCAAAATATAATTTATTTTTTATTTAAATTTTTAAAATGGTTTTCGACAGAATTCACTTTTCGTTGAAAATCTTTGACGAAAAATGAATTCCGTCGAATATTTCATAAATACAATTTCTATTTTGATTTAATTTTTTATAATTGTTTTCGACGGTATTTATTTTCCGTCGAATTTCGTCGAAAATCTTCACAAAATTAATTTCTTTTACAATTTATTTTATTCATCCGTTTTGGACGGAATTCATTTTCCGTCAAAAATCTTCGACGGAATCCATTTTTCGTCGAAAACCTTCACAAAATTAATTTCTTTTACAATTTATTTTATTCATCTGTTTTCGACGGAATTCATTTTTCGTCGAAAACCTTCACAAAATTAATTTCTTTTACATTTATTTTATTCACCTGTTTTTGATCGAATTCATTTTTCGTCGAATATCTTCGACGGAATCTATTTTCCGTCGAACACCTTCACAAAATTAATTTCTTTTTTAATTTATTTTATTCATCCGTTTTCTACGAAATTCATTTTTCGTCGAAAATCTTCTCAAAATTAATTTCTTTTACATTTATTTTATTCACCTGTTTTTGATGGAATTCATTTTTCGTCAAAAATCTTCGACGGAATCCATTTTTCGTCGAAAACCTTCACAAAATTAATTTCTTTTACAATTTATTTTATTCATCCGTTTTCGACGGAATTCATTTTTCGTCGAAAACCTTCACAAAATTAATTTCTTTTACATTTATTTTATTCACCTGTTTTTGATGGAATTCATTTTTCGTCGAATATCTTCGACGGAATCTATTTTCCGTCAAACACCTTCACAAAATTAATTTCTTTTACAATTTATTTTATTCATCCGTTTTCGACGAAATTCATTTTTCGTCGAAAACCTTCACAAAATTAATTTGTTTTACAATTTATTTTATTCATCCGTTTTCGACGGAAAATGTTTTTCGTCGAAAATCTTCGACAGAAAATGTTTTCCGTCGAAAATCTTTGACGAAATTCATTTTTCGCCGAAAACCTTCACAAAATTAATTTCTTTTACAATTTATTTTATTCATCTATTTTCGAAGGAATTCATTTTCCGTCGAATATCTTCGACGGAATCCATCTTCCGTCGAAAAACTTCACAAAATTTATTTCTTTTACATTTATTTTATTCATCTGTTTTCGACGGAATTCATTTTTCGTCGAATATCTTCGACGAAATCCATTTTCCGTCGAAAACCTTCACAAAATTATTTTTTTTACATTTATTTTATTCATCCGTTTTCGATGAAATTCATTTTTCGTCGAATATCTTCGACGGAATCCATTTTTCGTTGAAAAAGTTTTGACAGAATCAATTTTTTGTCGAAAATGTTTTACGGAAGCTGTTTTTCGTCAAAAAATTCAACGAAAAATAAATTCTGTCGAAATTCCGTTAGTAATTTCAACGGAATTTTTTCTGTCAAAAAATTTCGTCGATAATAATGACTTTTCTAGTAGTGATAGACCCCTTATGGTTATAAAAAAGTTCACTTAGACACCTTATGGTTTAGAAAATAAATATTTAAAATAAATTTTCTCTCTTTTTATTTTATATCCTCATGTAATGCATTTATGGTTTAAAAAATATTACAAGTTATTTATTCTGTAATTAATTTATAAATTATCTTAATTTTTTAAATATATTTGAAATTAAAAAATATTATTTAAGATAAATTAAATATGTATTATCAAAATAAGATATTTACTTTCTTTATAGAATTTTGTAATGATATCAAGTAAAAAATAGATAAAATAAAATAATATTTGATTTGAATTTATTTTCTTGATAAAAATAGCTGAATTTTTTTAAAAAAATGTTTTGTATTTTTTAAACCCTAGATGCATTAAGTGAGGATATAAAATAAAAAAGAGAGAACATTTATTTTTATTTTTTTTATTTTTATAACCGCAAGTAGTCTAAGAGAAAAACTTTTTAACCACAAGGTGTCTAAGTGAAAGTTTGAAATCACAAGAGGTTAAATGATAAATTATTTAAACACAATGGGTCTAATTAAGTGATAAGTTTAAAACTAAAGGGACAAATGATAAATTACAAAATCACAATGGGTGAAAATGAAGTTTTCCCTTCATTTTATGTGACATTTGCTGATTGATTATTATTTAGTTTCTTATAACTATTTTTTTATCTTTTAAAATTATAAAATGGTCTAATTTGTAATTTAATATAGTATATAATATAAAAAAACATACATGATATAACCTGTAGAATTAAGGTTCAACCAGTGAACCATGACGTTTACCACTTCAATGTAGTTGTTACTTTTTTTTTTTTTTTTGTAAATAATGTAGTTGTTACTTAGTTTGTGTGCTGACTCAGCTGGTAAATCAAACTTTTTGTGGGTGGACTTTTCTTGTACTACGTGCAAAGATTTGGAAACTATTTAAAACATTTTAAAAGGTGTGGAAATTGAAAATTAATCAACATAGTAAATTGAAAATTGGAAACTATTTAAAACTTTTTTCGTATTTAACAGAGTTTCTAGTTTCCACCACAATGCTAGAGCATTGGGATTTGTTAAATTAATTAATATGAACCCAAGAAAAAGACACGAATGAGCATTCCAAGAGCTTGTTAGCTTATGAGTTTATACAATGAGATGACAAAGCGGTAGACAGTAGACACGGAACGCACACGAAGCATGCACTTTTATAATATTGGACAGTTCCAACCCAAATTCTCTCTCTTTCCCATATATCATACAAACACATGCATGAAATAAATTATAATAACCAAAAAACCAAATAAAAGGTAGTGTTCAAGTCATGCAGACTCCAGAGGCCAGGAACATCTAGGCCCGTATAATTTCGTGGTTCCAAAATCACTTACACAAAACTTGAGTGCTTAATTTTAGCACAGAACCGGTATAGCCAATAAAAAATTACGAGAAAAGTGTTTCTTTTTTTAAATGACACAATTTATATCTTTTCACTCTCACAAGAAGGTAGGACCCACATCTTTATATTTTTTTGTCCATTCTCTATCTTTCTTTATCTATCTTTTTCTCTAATTTAAAATGACATAATTTACATCCTTTTAAGATGATACATATTTTTCTCAAATTATATGATATATTGTTTGAATAAATATATCATTTTAAGTGGGAACAAAAAGTAGGATATGGATTGCGGCCCTGCTATAAGCTACTTTTACTTTAATAAAGTTCACTTTTCTTGGAAATCTCTTTGGTGAGAGGGAGTGTTTGTGCATGGATCAGGGTGAAAATAATCCTGCAACCAACCAGATGCGCAGAGAGAGAGAGAGTTAGTCACTAATAGTTTTTAATTAATTAGTAGATATTCCTTCCAAGGAGGCACGGGTGCTCCGCTGATTTCTCCTATGCAATTTCAGTTCCCACGTTTACCGGCTTTTTTACCCTTATAACCCTTTATTATTAATTAATTACCGATTTGACCTTGATTATAAACTATTTCAAAAATTTAACCCCCTCAAAAAACATAACACCAATCTGCCCCTGTTTGACCGTTGACCACCAAGCCTACCCGGGTACACCCCTCTGTACCCGGGTATTTTTTGAAAATTTTTGTCTACCCGGGTAGGGAGGCGTGTACCCGGGTATTGTTCTTCGTACCTGAAAAATTGCTTGAATTATTTACCCGGGTAGAGAGGGTGTACCCGGGTAAATCTTCAACCACCCGGTATGATTACTCTTTGGATCTCCCATGCACTCTTCTTCTCCAAGCTTTGAATATAGAGGCACCGACTATCACGTGCTCTGCCTCTGCAACTTTTTTGGGTCTGTAAAGCACACAAATATTTTTCAATGATTATTTCAGAAAGAGAATTCTCAGTTAACAGTATAAATCCACAACCACAAACCTTGTCCCATGCATGTCTTCCCTGAACGTGATAATTCGTCATTTACCAGTAAAATGAAAAGCTGCATGCTCACACTAAATTTCTGTACCATGAACCCTGTCTTTATTTTCTTTCCGTCTCACTCTCCCCAATAGACCCGGTACCACATTTATATATAGGAGCGCGATTTTGACGTACATAAAAGTAGACCCCATCATAATCGATACGAACAGGGACCGCTTTGATGAGCAGTAAAGTGTTGATGTATGGAAATTCCAAATCCATTCTCAAAGCTAAAAGCTCTTCAAATTGGTTAGGCATGCTTAACTTGATAATACTGATCTATCTCATTAGCTGTAAAAAAGAGAGAGAAAATACCAAATGGGTGGTCGAAGATTTACCCGGGTACACCCCTCTCTACCCGGGTAAATAATTCAAGCAATTTTTCAGGTACGAAGAACAATACCCGGGTACACGCCTCCCTACCCGGGTAGACAAAAATTTTCAAAAAATACCCGGGTACAGAGGGGTGTACCCGGGTAGGCTTGGTGGTCAACGGTCAAACAGGGGCAGATTGGTGTTATGTTTTCTGAGGTGGTTAAATTTTTGAAATAGTTTATAATCAAGGTCAAATCGGTAATTAATTAATAATAAAGGGTTATAAGGGTCAAAAAGCCCACGTTTACCCCTTTAAATATCTTATTACTCATCGTTTTTCATGCCATTTGCGTTCTTTGTTTTACGTTATTATCAGCATTAGAACAAGAATAACTATAACCCAAACAAACGGAGAAACAAAAGATGGAACAAAGAAAAGGAGAAAAAAGAGAGGCTACCGCTATTCCTTGTTTTCTCAACCCATTAAAAATACGAAGAAGGTTTTATTTATATTTTTTTTTTATAATCTCTTACAATCATATCTTAATATAGTTGATTTTTGTCAATCAACTGTTATGATTTTCGCAAATTAAATTTATTAATTAATTATTAATTCACAATAAATGATAATCGTTGATTGGCGAAAATCAACGGTATTAAGATATGATTGTAAGATGTTGTCAAAAAAAAAAGTTATAAATATAACCTTCCTCTAAAAATATATATATATTTACGTGGGAAGTTCAAACAACAATGTTATCTTTAAAACTTGTTTTACATTTATCTTTTATGAAAGTTTCTCTCAATTTTTTTTTATCATAAATAGTAAGTATTTAACGGTTCTTTTTAATATACTCCACGAGTATATTAAAATTTTGTGGTCCTTATCCTTTTTTGGTAGTAAAAGCGCTCATATTTAACATGATAATCAACCAAGTGGAGGAATAATATTTTTTAAGTACAAAATATCAATTTCTCTCTTCTTTTTTGATAAATCAAAGTATCTTTCACGGGAGATAATCTTCTTTGGGGCAAGTATAGAATTAAGGCTTTAAATTCTTTTTTTTCAAAAATGATATTGAACAGAATCGAATACATACTTTCAACCCGTCTACTCAACTTTCGTGCGCCACCTGAAGTACCATATGGTAATATGAATTTATCTTTGCACTTGAATGTTTACGTAATGCCAAGCGTACAGCACGAGATCGCTCATTTTTTATTTTGAAGGAAAACAAGCATATAGTATGTATTGTAAAAACTACCAAGCATGCATGAAAAACTACATCATTTGATTCTTCTTATTCCAAAACTAAGTCTGGTGTTAATAAAACTTCCCAAGGATCTGTCCACATTCTCAATTCAATTCCCAAAATTCATAGCAAGTTGTTCTGCTATGACGTCCACACTTGAGGCTAGCTATACCCTCATAAAATATGAATCCATCACGTTGGAGATTAAAAAAAATAAGAATGAAGAGTTACAACTTGGAAAAGTCAATAAATGTATACATTATCTTTCCCTTGAAGACCTTGCCATGACTCTTCCTTCTTTCTACTTTCCGACTATTCATGCAATCAATCATGTGAACGGTGGAGCTCCAGGACAGAGAGCCAAATCGTTAGGCCTTGGTGCAATAGTTGGAATCGCAGTTGGCACCCAGTTATTGAATGCATCGTATGCACTACCCTTAACTGCACCTGCAGATGTTTGCTGCGAAAGATAATACAAGTTCTTTGCATGATAAGGATCACTATAGCTTAATACATTTTCATAACCAAGCGTGTTTACATCACTATCACCAAAACCGTTGCTGATTCTTTGATTTTGGTTACCTTCATCTGCAATGAAAGTATTAGTAGTAGTAGTAGTAGTAGCCATGGGAATCAAGTAGGCCCCACAACCATTAATGACAGAGTTAGATCCAGAGCTATTAACATCAATAGAAGAAGCAGAATCAATGCTCATGACAGGGTACTGCAACCCTGAACTGGACTGAAAGAAATTGTGGGTATTTCCTAAATATTGTAGTTGATGAATATCTTGTAAGGATTGAGAAACATCAGAATCTTGTTCTTGTTTGCACCAAAGCTTCTGAATTCCATAGGTGTAATGAAGCTGGCTATAAGGATGAGGTTGCTGGAATGGAAGAGCTCCATAGCTCATAGTGGAATCCATGTTTGACCTTTGCTCATTCACGTTCATATCAACCTTTTCAACATCCTTTAAACGTTTGGCAGCACCACCAATTGGTAAAGTACTGCTCTCAAGTATACTCCTAACGTCGTATCTGTTCATGTCGAAGTTTGTAACGGCTTTCAGTCCTCGAAATTTGATGGCTGCAACATCATATGCCTCTGCAGCCTCTTCTTGGGTGCCTGGTAAATTAATTGATATAACACAGGCTCATTAATTAACTATTCATGCAACATATGCATCCAGTGGAATTAATATGCAATGTTACGAATACCTATGTTACTTGTGGTAGTGTAAAAATCTGTCTAGTTGATTATGCTAATATCAGTAGAACCACAAAATTGCATACAATCACAGAAAATTAGAATGCAAATATGCAAGGCATACAAAATGCAGAAAGTCAAAACCGAGCCCAGTAAGACAATTTTGCCCCATCAACAGTGTCTAAGGTTCATGTACAAATGGGTTAGCTTTGTCTTGACAGTGGCACAACTAGAAGAAACAACACCGGCGAACTCAACGAACGTTGATCAATCCCAAAGAATAAATGCAAAAGATTTCAAACAATTCTTTTTACAGAATTTCGGTATAGGAGAGAAATCAGAAACGTCACTCTTTGTTATGATTCTCTTCCTTATTTATAAACCATGCTTGGTCGCGATAAATGGGGTCTATTGGCAGTAAAGAGTCATGCTTGTTTCGGAATTGAAAAGCGATATCTATTCATCCGTGAAAAGTCATATCTGTTCGACATTAAAAAAACACATCTCTTCACACCCAACTTCTTATTCATAATATTTGAATTTTATAATAATTCCAACAATCTATCTCCATCAACTGATCATGATAGGAACACTCGTGAACATTCTTAAATTCTTAAATTTAACTTCATTATATATCTTCTGACTATTCATTGCTGAAGTATTAATTATACTAGATATATATATGATCAAATAATAAATGCTGACCGAGTACACTACCACCGCAAATACTAAATGTTAAAGCTAGTTATATAATTTTTGCTGCTTGTTAGCTATAAAGAAATTGCTGTTATATTTCCAGCATTTGATCAAATAAAATGGCAGGGGATGTGTGCTTTGGAGACTAAAGAAAAAGTGAAAATAAAAATATCACAGGCCATAAAGAAATGTATAGTATAATTCATAAGCACATGCATATATGTTAAAAACATTAATATTTCTTACTGAAAGTTCCCAAGTAGAGATCTTTGTTGCCTGCAACTCTTCCAATCCTAGCTTGCCATCTGCCATTTTGGTGATGCCTGCAACAAATCATTAAAATAATATATGAGAAATTAACAATTTGGTATGCACCGATATTTTAACTAGAATTATGTCTTTTCATTCTCTTTCCATAATTTTCGCACCAAAACGACATCGTTTCAATGAACAATAGACAAAATTGTCTAAAGTAACTTTAGAAAAAATGAACTCATTAACAAAAGATCAAATATATATATATCAAAATGGTGGCTTTGTTACGTTAATTAGTAAATTGACCTCCTCTCACAATCATCTTCTTTACGCGTGTCTTTAGGAGGAATAATCTCAATACCTAAATTTCAAAAACAAAAATCTTACTATTTTAACCAGAACATATAGATAAAAGTCATGCAATTTTACCAAATGATATATACATTAACTAGTGACCGACTAATTAATTTGACTTAATTAAAAAAAAAAAACTGAATGGTAAGTCAACGGTACCTCGTTACTCCTCTATAAATGGATGCACCGCGAGAAAAACCACTGCTTTTCCTGCATCATCATAATTTTTATACGTAATGATCAATTACTTATATAGATATCTACCTTTACTTAAGTTTAAGCTTATCATATGCAGATTAGTAGCGGCATTTGCAAATACCTTCTCAATGACGCGACGTACTCTTGCCTTGTCATGTTCTTCATTTCTTCCAATTCTTTTTCATATTGGCTAATCTAAAATTCATTGATTGTTGACGAATATTTAATAAAGCATCCGTTAATATTATAACACCAGAAGAAGTAGTCACGTGCATATATAGTTTGAATTATAAGACAAATAATGTAAATTATAATTTAATGATTTATATTTAAATTTATTTTTTTTATAAACGATTTATATTTAATTTAAGAGTTCGCTTTTTCTGCAGTTACTGCAGATAAATTATCTTCAGTAAGCCCAATACGACGTCGTTTTGGGGCGGAAATCATAGTTTTTTTGTAATTTTAATTTATTTCAGGGTTATAATAGCCTTTATATTTATAATTTTTTAAGATTTCAATACCAAAACGATGTCGTTTTGAAAATAAATGCAGATAACTTATCTGCATTAACTGCAGAAACATTTTTCCCTTAATTTAATGAAACACAACTACACAAGCACATATTAACAAAGGGATTATATTTTCTTATGCAACCATATATATCATATCTCATGTTGCACTAACAATTTTATGGAGGTCCCATTATATAGAAAAAGAAAAAAAAATTGAAATGGAACTCACGTCTTTTTTAGTGAGTAGAAAAGATTTGTTCTCTCCAATTACATGAGATTAATATTTTCCATTAACAAATTATAATTTTTTCCCACAATTTACTTTCTTGTAACTCCCAGTACTGGCACTTTAAGATAGAAATCCTTGTACAATGTGCCGTGTAATAGACTGCCATATGTAAAGCTTCCTTATAATTCATCATTGTTGCATGTTATTGCTAATGGCGACATTAATTGTCTGGAGTTATGAAATGCAACCCTTAATTCACTGATGACAAGCATAAACGAGAGAGAGAGATAGAGTGGAAACTTACCGGAAAATTTGTTGTTGTTGTAGTTCCCCAGTACTTCAGCGCTGCTAAATCGTAAGCTCTGGCTGCCTTTTCTTCTTTGTCATAACCTCCTGCAAATTAATGTATAAAATCTTATATAACTAACATGAACAAATTTTAACATTTTTTTTTTTGATTGGCAAAAGCTGTCAAAGAAAAAGACTAAAAGCCTTTTTTTTAATTAAGTTGGTTGGGACATCAAAAAAGAAAAAGAATTACTAAATAATTCAAAGGACATATATAATATAAGCTTTACTTTATTTAATTCGGGAATGAAAATTAAAAAATGAAACTGCAAAGAAAAGAACTATGGCATCTTTTTGTACTCACCCAAGTAAACTGCAAAAAAATGAATGTTGATGAAGGCGACACGACACCCCATTGAAGTGAGAAGAAATGCAGGGTAAAGAACACAAGTTAATAATCATTATTGCATATAATAATTATTAAAATTAAAAAAAGAAAAGATCTTGGCAATTAAGGAGAAAAATAAAAATAAAAAAATGGTAAACCAAACCTTGTCTTCCTTTGCGAGTTTGTCCCTCTCTTCTACAACTATTGTCCCATAGATGAGCCTCATATCTACCAGTCCACCTATGCCTTTATTAAAATCAATAAAACCCTAAATTCATCATCATCTCACATAGTGCTAACAGAAACTGATAAAAAAAGAAATTTGAGCAACTACAATGAAGAAATCATATTGAATTGAAAACCTGGTTACACCACGGTATATGGAAGTCCTCTGTCCAAATGTATCAATGGACTTTCTAGGCACAGTCTCAACAGTATTAATTCCTGCTTTGCTATCAAGTACTGTCGTCCTAGGTTGTTGCGTGCTCATGGAAAGCGATGTATTTGCAGCTTCTGATTGTGACGGTTGGTTCCTCTGCATTGTCTTTATCATTGACAACCCAATAGAGTTACTGTTTTTTGGACTGCCACCTCCAACACCGGCTGTTGGTGGCTTTTCCGACGGCTGAGTCGGAAGTTTTAATGAACAGTTTTGGAACATAAAATCTCCAAAAGAGTGAGGGCCGAGAAAGTTTTCGAGTTTTGGTTGTTGTTGGTTTTTGTCGAGGTTTTGGTTGCTTTGGCTGCATGATGTTCCCAATAGCATGTTTTGGCTGTTGTAGTTATCCTCTGAGTTGCTTTCCAAACCCTTTGTGTTCCAATCTGTCAAAAAACATGAACCAACAAAGTAAGGGGAAGCACTAGTTCATATACTTTTTTTACACATTAGTATAATTAATCATACACTCTTGATTAGTATATAACCGGTCAGATATAGTAATTTGTAAACAAAAAAATTTATAAATATATTCTTACCCAAAAGTAAAATAAAATAAAAAAATGAAAAAATTTATTAACGATAAGTTATGAACTTTGTGGAGGAAGAAATGAAACCTAGAGGAGTATGAGTACAATGGTTTTGGTTGAGTTCTTCAAATAAGCCAAAAGAAGGAGGGAGGTTGAGTGAGTGATGAGTGGACTCGGAGGTGAGATGATCAAAGCATTCGGTGGAGATTCCTTCAGAGTTGAATCCCACTGTTTGAGATTGGTTTTCAATAGCAGAATGTGATGGAAGTTCTTGAGGGGAGAGAGAGAAACCCAACCAGTTCATTGATGCCATTTATTAATAATGATGCTTAGAAATTGATAAAGGGAACTTATATAAGTAGCAGTTCATGCATGAAGTGGAAGTTCGGCTAGTGTGAGAAGGCCATAGATCCCCATTAGATTTTATGTGAGGAAAGAAAGAAGAAGAAGAAAAGTCAAAATTTGTGAAGGTAACAAAAAATGAAAATCGTTTTGTTGTAGTTTTAGAAAAGCGAGAGCATTTATAATGCACAAACTTTCATAGTTTGTCTTTCTTCTCGCTGAAATGCATCTACACGCACACAATAAATTAAAATCTAAGGTACTTGGGATCTTTACATTGAAAATTGCAACAAGATTAATGAGATGGTCTACGCGTTTAACACCGTATTTTTTTTGGTGGTGGGGGAGGGGTTAATGCGGTTGTCAAAACCCATGTAGCATCGATACCGACACGTGGCACGATACGACACGACACTCCGACACGTTAATTTTAAAAAATGTTAAATTTCGACACGTTAGGACACGTTATGATATTAAATAATATTTTTAATTTATGTAGTGTATATTATATTTAATATTCAATAATTTAACAAAAAAATAATCTAAACTTATAATATTCTTAAATTTTGCAAAGAAACATAAAATATCTCAAATATTTATTTTAAACCCAATAAAATAGTAATCGTAATCCAATGAATCTAATAGTTAGAACTAAAAACTCAACGCAACGCAACCTTTAAATCTTTTTTTGAATTTCTATAACGCGTGTTGGAGTGTCAGGGAGTGTCGGGTGTCCGAGAGTGTCGGGAAGTGTCGGACACGACACGTCAAGGTTTTTGAAGTGTCGGTGCATCATAGGTCAAAACAATATACATTGAAATAATATAAAACTACAAATATAATTTATGTATATAATAATTCTTCTAATATGAGTTATTAAGTAGTGACTTATATTCTTTGTATAGCCACGCTTTATGAAAAATAATTAATGTTAATATTATAAATAAATAATTTCATCACACTTAATAATTAAATTACTGTGGTTGTCTCTTAAGAATACGATAATATATTATCAGACCATTTTTCATAAAACAAAATTAACAATTACTGGTGGGAAAAAGAACGTTGATGCAGTAGTCCCAAGAATTTAAAAATTTTTTTATACATCCCAAGAATATTTTAAATCATATTTTCTTTTCAAAAACAAAAGAAAGTCACAAAGAAATTTTGGTGGGAGATTATAAGAATACTTTTTAATTACATTTTATTTATAGAGTTTTTACTTGAATCAATTTTGATGCACTGGGTTTATAGTTTTTATTTTTTATTTTGAAAATATGAACTTTACCCACTAAAAAACTTTAAAGCAATTGATCTGTTAATATTCAATATTAAAGCTAATAATAAAAAAAAACCATTTGTCATGTCTGAAATGATTCATTTTGCAAAAAAAATGTGTTGGTAGAATAGAATGTCTTTTAAAAAAAAAAAAAAAAAACGTTTTATTATACTGATTAAGACCATAACTTGTAGCGGAGTTGTCACTGTTCATTTTGTCTACTATTATGTATGGAAAGAGTGATTATCTTTTTAAATGACACAACTTATATCATTTCACTCTCACAAAGAAGTGGGACCCATATCTTTATTTTTTTTGTCAACTCTCTCCTCATTTATCTATCTCTTTCTCTCTCTTAAAATGACACAACTTTACCTCCTTTAAAATGACACACACTTTTTCCATTATCTATATAGTAAAGTAACTTTTCCTGATATGTCTTCTATGAATGCTAACCTTAATTTATAACTAACTTCATGAAATTGAAACTAAAAGTATCCATTTATGATGTTTATGAATATTAAAAAAGAGTACAATATTGGACCAAGGAAAGAGAGAGGATTATACATAGTATACGCTGAATGTATATTCTATGATTTTAAAATTGATGCATTAAATTAATCCATTTGAATAAAATTAATATCACATCGAACACTATGATCGAATTAAAAATCAATGTAATTATAATTTACTTTAGAATCATTTATGTCTCTGTAATTTTTTTCATCAGATATGTTTCTGTGGTTTATAAAATGTAAAAAATCACAAGGATATATGTGATAAAAAAATATATCTTTTTACAAATCACGAAAGCATATTTGATAAAAAAAATCACACGACATATATAGGTGATTCTAGAATAAATCAAAGAGACATTGATAAACTTTTTCTAATTAAAAAAATGTGTAATATAATAATATGAGAAATAGTTCATTTATAAATTTTTATAAATTATATTATATACTTCTTAAAATATATAATATAATTTAATATACTTTCAATAATATATAATATAGTTTGTAAAAATTTATAAATAAATTTTTTTAAATATAATTTTCCCTTAATAATATACATGCAGAAATCTTCTCCATCTCTCTGATTTCTGTAAACAAACACCTGTGGGAGTAGATGAAATAATAATATCTGACAAGTTAATGTGACAAAAAAACCCACACGCAGCACCTCTACACGCCCATTTATTTAAGCCCTCTTGGACAATATTAGTCATTTCATGTCAGGTATATTATGAGACTAGGGCCCTATGCTCTTCAATTTCCTTTGCAATCTCTCTGTGTGTGTATAAACACCCATAACTTTCTCACATTCCAATCCATCAATATCACACTATTTAACTATTATCTCATAGTCCTAATCATCAATCTGCTCCCTCGCCACAAACGGGAGTCTCTCTTTCTATCTGAAAGATACTCTGTCTCTATCTCTTTCTTCTATGCACAAATAATAATTCATGCATGACTGACACTTTTTTCTTTTTATTAAAATAAAATGGTATTCATATGAGGAGAATATTAGTGTCATATTATATAAGAGTAGTTCTCTCATGCTACAGAGAGAATTCAAGTGGAGCCCATCATTAAAAAGCAAAAAAGAAAAAAGAAAGAGTACGATTTTCAAAATAAAAAAAAATAAGATAATTATCTCATGTAAAATAAAAATAGTATTTCCCTTCATAAAATCATATTGCACCTTTTCACAACCACCGTGTGGTTATGCTCGTGTTTTTTATTGACTGAAATAGGAACTTGCCTTATACATTAGTTTTTATTTAAAAAAATATTCAGATTTTAAAATGATTATTGTAATGTTACATTTCATACATTTTGAAATATTTTCTTTAAAAAAATTATATCAATACAAGTTACATATTATAATAATTAAAAAATAATAGTATTTTATTATGTTTGTAATATAAAGTTAATTTATCAAAAAATGATATTTTCATATTTAATTGAATATTTTTATTTTTAATTTAATACTATATTAATTTTATAATTTTTAAAATTTTCTATTTTATAGTTTTTAAAATTTTCTATTTTATAACGACAAAATAAAATTTAGTATTTTGTGTATTGAGATCATATCGGATCTGGATTTCTATTTACGAACTTCTTAGATTTTGACTTTTAAAATAACAAACATTTATTTGTAAGAAAAATTCTAAGGAAAAACATGTTGCATATCATGTCTTAAAAAAAAATTCTAATACTATTTGTAGAAGACTAGTAAAAGAAATCACGTGATAGGAAATTAATATACATATGGCACCACTTTTTAGATCATGAACATATTTTCCACCAACTTAATTAGTAAATAAATTGTTGTTTTTCTATTTTATTTACTTAAAATTTAATGTACTTTTTTTTGAGTTGGTACGAACAGTAATGTCTAGATTTTTAAAATTTGTATTAAAACATTCAAATATAATTCTTTATATTCAAATATTATATATGATGGTGTTATCTTGGTACCAGTTAATGATATTAGACTGAAATAGATAGAGAAGTTAAATGATTAGAGAATTAATTTTTTTAAAATTAAGAAAGTTAATTTTTAAAAGACTAAATTTAATGCAAAATTTTTTCAGACATAAAAAGGTTTTATTTATAAGCAGAGGCGAACACAGGTGGTTACACATGTCCGCAAGTGCGGACATAAGATTTTAGGTTTTTTTTCTCTTTTTGTTTTAGGTTGTTATTTGTCTATTAGTTCAATATTTATATTAGGAGTAAATACTTTTTTAAGTTCTCAACAAAAAATATGGTCTTCACTTTAGTCCCTTATAAAAAAATTAGTTTTGAAGTTTCTAAAAAATTTAAAGTGAATCAATTTAGTTAAAATCGTGATCCCTCACAAATTCAAAAAAGACCCACATTAGTTGCTCAAAATAACTAAAATGTGTCCACTTTGAATTTTATAGGGACCGGGTCACTAAATTTTTTCTGTAAAGGACTAAAGTGAAGATCGAATTTTTTTGTTAGGGACCAAAAAAAGTATTTACTCTTATATTAGTTAGTAACGTAGCAACTTACAGAGATGATTAAAATAACGTAGCAATGCAAATTGATTAGAGAGAAAACTTATTCTTCCTCTCCTGTCATATACTCATTCTCATACTCTCTTCATCCTTTGTTTCATTTTTCATTTTTCTAAAAAGAGAGGATTGATTGCAGGTTTGACATTCTCTAATAAGTTAATCTCTAGAGATGAGGCCTTCACTGTGATTTTGCTTACCTTCTGTACAGATAGTGTTGATTTTTTTATTCACCATTATAAAATAGAATATGATGTATGGATGTACTGTAGTATATTCTAATATTTGTTTTGGAAGATTGGTAAAATTTAGGGAAGAATGATTGGTCAAACTATTGCCTGCAGTTTTTTATGGAAGCAACTAGACTATGAGAGATTTCATAACCTTGTATATACAGTGTTAATCTAAATTGTCTTTACAAAAAAAAAATTGGGGGACAAATTTTCACCACTAAATGTGCGGACATAAAAAAAAATTCCTGATCTGCAACTGCTTATAAGTGATTTAAAAAATTACAAATTAACGCAATAGAAATATATGCATGGCGCATGGGGTTGGCAACTTGCGCCCCTATGCGGGGACACTAACCCATGTCTTGCGGGTGGGTTACTATTTCATCCTCAAGTTTGTGAAAAGACAGATCGGACGAAAATTTAACTCCAAAGCTTCTGAATTCTGATATGGAATTTCTCAGATGCGGTATTATTCTACACACACGTACGTGCATCTGTACATATACTTTCATTAATGTTTAATAAAATATCAAGAGTTTACTAAAACAAAATGAAATGAAATATCAAGTAATTTTTGATATAATGATCTTTTACACGCAATTTCATTGAATAGATTCCGTATTGCATAAATTATATGTGCTTGTAAAATTTTATATTAATTTATGTTTTCCGTACTTCATTGCTATATTTTAGCATTTATATAAAATAGTTTTGTTTCGATGAGGAAATATATCTGGACTGAAATAAGGAGTAAATAAATTTCACAGGAAGAAAAATAAGAGGCCGATTTTTTTTATGATTTTTGTAAAATAAATAGTGTAATGGTTTTAACCACTCATTTCAAAGCCTGTATAATTTTGTGTGTGGAAAGACTTTGTGTCGGTGTCATTATCAATTTTGATGTATTATTAGTATAATCTTTTTACATTAACAATCAATTATGTATTATTTTAGGGTTTTGTTAATCTCCTTTTACATAAGATAGGTATCTTATGTTGTAGAGAGAAACTAGGTGGGTCCCACTATTATAAGAAAAAAGAAAAAGAAAAAGAAAAGTGAGGTGCGAAAATCGAAGTGAGAGAAAATGAGACAAGCTACCTCATGTAAAAGGAGACTAATATTTCCCATTATTTTAAGTAACTTTTGATTTTGTTGTTGTGAAGGTCAAAGCTTGGCACTATTAGAAAATTCTTTAATTTTGACGGAATTTTTCGACGAAAAATATATTCCGTCAAAATTTTTCGACGGAAGACGAATTCCGTTGAAAATGTTATTAAAAATAAATTAAAAAAATTATATTTGTGAATTTTCGACGAAAATTCTGTCGAAAACCTTATTAAAAATAAATGAAAAAGAAACTATATTTGTGAAATTTTCGACAGAAAAATAATTCCTTCGAAAATCTTATAAAAATATATATATTTGTGGACTTTTCAATAAAATTTATTTTCTGTCGAAAAATCATTATAAAAAATAAATAAAAAAGAAAATATATTCATGAATTTTTCGACGGAATTTATTTTTCGTCAAAAATCATTATAAAAAAATAAAAAATAAAAAATGTTCATGAATGTTTCGACGGAATTCATTTTTCGTCGAAAACTATTATAAATAATAATTAAAAATATATATATTCAGAAATTTTTCGACAGAATTATTTTTCCGTCAAAAATCATTATAAAAAAGTGTTTAATTTCATGCTGACGACCATATATCAAAACAAAATCCAACCTGATATATAAAAAAGTGTTTAATTTCATATTTGTGTTGTATGATAAATAGTTTGTAATTCCATGTTTTTACGAAGGTTATATTAGATTAATGTATTAAATAATTTAAATATGTTTAACTCTATATGTAAGTTATAATTTCGATTCAACGTTAGAAATTTTCAATTATTATTAATTACTTATTATTATAATTAGACTATAATAATAATTGTTTAAAGGGTTACTTTATAAAAATTATAATGTTATTATAATCTAATATAAAAAAGCTTTATGTTTACTAATAATTGCATACATAATTTGTTTTTTATAGAAGAAAAGTAAATATTAGCGGTTACCACTAATAAATCCTAATATCTTTTTCCTAAATGTAGTGGTTAATCTTTTATTAGAAGTAGGAAAATATAAGATTCATTAAACATAAAGGATGTGTAGAATACATAAAATTACTTTAAAAAATACATAAAATTAGGTGAGTTATTTTATTTATTTATTTTAATTTTAATCAGTACTGCACTGAGTCTTCAGAATTATAAGGAATCCTGGAGATATTTTCACACCCCCGATAAAAAAAAAATCCTCTCCTATTAAACGAAGATAAAAGCTATTTTTTTATTGAGAATAACATCTGTCATTTTAAAGGATATAAGCTTGTATTATTTTATATCTTAACCGTTGATTTCCGTCCATCAACGGTTATAATTTATTGGATCAAAATTATTAGTTAATTAATAATATATTTGGCCCATTAAGTTTGGCCCAATAGACTATAACCGTCGATGGACGGAAATCAACGGTTAGGATCTAAAATGATGTAACCTTATATCTTTTAAAATGATAGATGTTTTTCCCTTTTTTATTAGATGAAAACAAATTGAATTAAGCAAAAGCATCAACATACAATTAATAAAAAAAAAGTGGAGCAGACTGCAACCACGTACAACACTAACTGAGTAGAACGAGCAAAGCACGCAAATAGGAATTAAAGTGAAAAAAAAAAAAAAAAAAAAAAAAACATTCAACTGATTTGCAAATAGACACAATCAGCTGACAGTAAATGATTTGAAGACATTAAAAAACATTCAACTCAGATTACCTGATTGGATAGGAAGGACATAAATTTTCTATCAAATGTCCACCCATTCCATACAAATTCAGCACCTATGTTAGTAGTTTATTTTTCATTAAAAAGCAAATCTCTGAAGAAATGGGAGAAAATAGAAAAGAAATTTAGAATTTTAGATAACCAAGCTCTTAATGCAGATAGAGATGTCAGTGTTACAAATTTAGAATTCAGCACCCATTCCATACAAGTATTCGAATACTTCATGAAAGTATTCAAATACTTTCAAGATGGTAATTCAAATTGAGTTTCTTTCATTGAAGTATTCGATTACCAGCTAAAAGTAATGGAATACTTCCTTGACGACAATAAGAAACACATGTTTTTTTGCATAACGAGTCACTTGGATTCCTCCGAGGCTCATTTTGCCACCTAATTGATATTCCTCATACTATACACATACAACTAACTATCTATTAACATAACATGCAATTTCCATCCGGAGATTCATCAATTTTGGCACCAAGCATAATTGCATAAGTCCTCATACTCCATGTTCTAATGAAATATACAGTATTCAAAACACTTGAATGTTAATACGTATCAAGGATTTAGAAGCCTTTAACAAAATAACAAGTTCTCTCAAAATGGTTTTACAAGGGTGAACATCTCCAAAAGCATCATGCTATGCAAATAACTCCAAGACAGCTATACATGCTCTTTTTCCCTTGAAGTGCTAGCTCCTCCTCCTTGAGGACCGGAAACCACATAGCCCCAAACGGGGTGAGATAAAAAATTTCAGTAAACTAAAAGTCTTTGGAGATTCCTCCACCCTTTAAGTTCACTTTCCAAATATTAAATATTAAATAAAAAAGTATAACAAATAACAATTGTCTAACAAGTTTGTGCGTTAAACTTTACCAGGAGAGAGCCTGGCTTCTTGGTCCTCATCTAGCATTTCATCCATGGATAATTCTATACATAAGCTACCAGGAATTGCTCGCATACTCAAGGATTTCAAGTACATCTGCTCCAGCTTAAGAGTACCACTGAAATTTTGACCCAATTCCTTGCCATGCATCAAATCTAGTATTATCAGGGGCTGATCCTTTTTGAGAGCATGTACTGTCAAATTGTTTAGATTCTTTTGCCGTTGAATTAAATCAGAGAACTCCTCACTCTCTGTGTCATCTTTACAGCTACGTGAGCTCTCAGCCCCCTCAACATCAATAACTTTGTCCACCTGTACACCCTACATGTAAATAAATAATCTTACTAACAATGGTCTGTAGTGACATTCAGATTCACAAACAAGTTCTAGTTGCCAGTACAAGTGCTCAAGTCATGACAAAAGAAAACTGGATTCTGGAACACATCTTAGCAATTGGCATTGGAACTTGGAAGATAAAGTATACATAAATGCAAAAATATTGAAACACCAAAACATCATTCATCTACTTCATATGCGAAACTTCCTAATACAAATGTAACTTCATCACACCAAAACTCTACCTCATCTTCTGATAGATACCCGTCACGTACAAAAAATCCATCGTCATTTTCATCATCAGATTTTGAAAATTCTACTGAAGACTCCTTATCTTCTTCACAATCAGAGAGGATTTCACCAGGTTCCTCCTATAAATGAAGAATGTTGACAGCAAATAGCAATAGCATCCAGTATATATTTATTTAAATTGAATACAGTACCTCAAACCATTCCTCGTCGCTACTTGAAGCATAATCCAAGCTTGGATCCTTCCTAATAGGATGGCGTGGTCCAACAACTTGACTGGAAATGTAACATAAGCAATTTCAAAATCAAGATACAGCAATCAAGGCATCTGGCAGCAATTTTTCTAGACTAGGTATCCATAACTAGTGTCAAATAAAACTTAAGGAATACATATATACAAGCATGTGAGACAGAGAGACAGACCTACAGAGCTAAGCAAACAATCGGGAAATAAAATCCATTGATAGCAGGAATTAGGCTGATGATGCTAATATAAATATGAATAAGCTTTTAAAAACTATGTAGAACTCAATGCACATGATATACCGATGCCAGATATTTAAACCAACCACATTCTCAGTAATTTTTTACCTTGTGCAACTTCACACAGCTCAAACTTTTATTGTTGAGATTTCAAGAGCCAAGAATTACAAAACAACCAACCAAAAAAGTCAACTTTATGCCTATAATACCACTAAATTAGATTAGATAAAAAATCACTCCTCATTAAATCTCAACTAGCAAGAGTGGGGTGAGGACAATCTTTGTCCGCAGCCTTACCCTTGCATAATTGCAAAAAGGTTGTTACCGGATTCGAACTCATGACCTTTCAGTCACAAAGTAACAACTTTACTACTACACCAGTTCACCGTCTTTAAATTAGATTAGATATTAAAACCAAAAAATTACGTGAGCATAAACTTGCGAACATATGATGGCCAACATTAAAAGCATCATTGATATGCCTCCAACATATATATAAATCTAATCCAAAAAGAGAAAGAATATTGATTAATCTTGAATAAAAAGGCAGTATTTACTGTTGATTTGTTAAAATCTCATTCAAAGATTGTGATACTGATTTTCTTTTGATTTCGTAGGAAAAACAGACAAACTGGAGCCAAATTGGAAATTACCAAACTGAAGGCCCACGCTGATAGCGTGGGTGTGACGCTGACAGCGTGAAGGAGCCTTTTCATACAGAGACATCCACGCTACTAGCGTGGAACTCACGCTAGTAGTGCTAGAATTCAAAATCATCCCGAGACATCCACGCTACTAGCGTGGAACTCATGCTAGTAGCGCCATACTTTCCTGCAAGCCACGCTCACAGCGTGGGAACCACGCTAGTTGCGTGAAACTCCAGTATTGTGAACAAAACTCCCACGCTATCAGCGTGGGAACCACGCTAGTAGCGTGGGAGATGCGGATAAATCAGAAATAAATCCTATTTTAAATCAGAGAAAGATTGGAAGGAGATTTACGATGGAGATTTGATCAAGGTTTCTGTGCAAGACACAAGTCTATAAATAGAGGCTTAGACTCTCAGAGAAAAACATCTTTGGCTGGAGCAAATGCGAGGATCAGAGAATTGAGAGAATTCTTGGAGACTCGCGCTGAAGATCAGAATTCCGTGGAAGTTGAAGGCTGAAGACATTGAGTTTTTATTCTTCTTCTTCTTTTCTTCTTTATAGTTTATGAACAATTTTTCTTTTTATTTGTTTAAGTCAGACATGAATATGTCTGGCTAGTTTATTTTTGTAGTTGGGATCACGGACCCGATGTGAATCCTTTTATATTTCCTGTATTGATATTTATAATTTAATTAGTTAGTTTGTTTTATTCTACCTGGTTTAATTTTTCCATATCCTGTTTAGAATAGGCCACTCTAAATTATAGGGCTTTGAAGGTTAGAATTCACAATAAACATATTGGGATTTTAATCTGGACAGGGGTAGAATAACAATTTGTGTATGATCTAGACATAGGCTTACATAAATTGCAGACTCATAATTCATTTGCTTAATGCTTAATTCAAGAAGGATCACTAAGACATTAGGGTTCTAATTGTTAAAGGGTTGAAATCACTAAGATATTAGGGTTCAACTAATTTATAGGGAAATAATGAATCGTCTGAACAAACGAATTAATTATTGTATAAAATACAATATAGGAATATAAGGGAGGATCGGAGGTGAAGTGTATCCTGGCTACAATTTTCTTACGAATTTTTAATCATCTTTTATCGCGTTCTTTATCTTTTCTTGCATGCGTTCAAAGTCCACTGTTATTTGAATTCTGTTTTTAAATTTAATTGTTTTAATTTTTGTTTTGGATTGTCCAAACTCAATTATTTCACAACACAAACAACTTTTTTGTTCCAAATTAAAGGGATTAGTTAGACTAGTACTTGGTGCCTCAATCCTCGTGGGAACGATACTTTTCTTATCACTTTATTACTTGGAACGATCGGTATACTTGCCGAGTTCGCAACAATCATTTGTTGCTAAACAAATTATCTTATAGAAAAAATACTGTTACAGAAAGGAATTAAAAATATAATAGGAAAGGAGGATCAGAGAAGTTGAAAATTATTATTAGGTAACACCAAACCCTTCCTAACATCTGCATCCATCATAAACAACTAAAAGATCCAGGCAAATTACTATAGATATTATGAAGGAGTTTGGAGAGAGCAGAGAAAGTAAAGGGACAGGAGAAGAGATTAACGTGTGAGAAAATGGATCAATTATTCATGATCACTTCTACATGCCACTGGCTTATTTATAGACTTACAAATAATATCTGATCTATGACCTTCATCCTTATCAACAAGTGATAACAGATCTGATGCTCACCATAACCTTAGGAATTTATTCCCTATTAATCATAATCACATGGATTTAAACCTATGCAAATCAATCTAATAACAAGAATTTAGTGCCTGATATTGGTCAATCTGATAGAGACCCAGAGAATTTGAGGGTCTACTATAGGAAGAAACATAGGGGATATTTAGCACTTAAATCGTTGACACCTCAACAGAATGCTGTCGACAGAAAGGCAGCATATCCCTCATAACAGAATGAGGGAAAACGAGGATGAGGTGAGAGACTTGAAGGGAACCCATGGAATCTTAACAACCTGATGCCTGGCATAAATAGAGAGGAGAGTAACAGAAGAATCATCTTTGGGATTTGGAACTTAGACTCTTGGGAGAGATTAGGGCCTCTCCAATTCTCCTGAACCTATCCTTGTTACTTTCCTTTTTTTTCTTTATCTTTTTTTAAATTTTGCGAACATCATGTTTTCTCAATTAATTGTCATTACAGTGTAATTCTTAGTGTGATACAGATTTGGAATATACAAATATCGTTGTTCTGTCCTGTTTTATCTAGTCTCAGTGATTTGTTGAGCTAGGTTGTAACGCAATCTGTTCCAGATTTTGAGAGATTGGGTCCCAAAAAGGCAGAATGAGTCGGAGAGTTGGCCCTTCCACTCTAATAAACCCATTTTTAAGAAAGGGGACTACTGGGTTGTTAAGAAAGCAAGTAAAGCACTATACGACTTCAGAACTTAACCCCCTGAAACTTGAGAAAAGGAATAAAACTTGTTAGGTGGAGCATCACTGATTCAGTTGTTTGGTACACTTAAAAATGGAGATGAGCAACAGCATACGGGAAAATGCTTAATGTTCGCAATTATAAAAGTCTCTGGTCACTGACAACGCAGAAAATTATAACAATTCCCTAGAGGATGACAAGGTTTAGAATTCTGATGAGGAAAAAATAGATGCTGAAGCATTTTCTACAGTTGGGGAGGTGTCTAGAGTTTTCTCTACGCTCAAAGATGGGTTAGGTAGAGTGAAATCAAATAATGATGATAGCAATGCCCATGTAATTCAAGATTTAAACTCTAGTGAAGAGGTTGAAGAAGATTCTTATTTTGAAGCCATTAAAGTGTGCAGGTTATTATGCGATAAAGGTGATCAGATTCCTTTTACGAAGATGATAAAGGTCTGATTCAGGATGACGTTACAGGTTCAATACGGGCAACAAAATGTTCAAGTAGATTGCTTTGACATTGATAGCAACTTACATGGAGAGAAGTTGCTTTTAGAACAACAACGTGATGGAGAAATTTTTAGTTTAGGCTTTCAAGATTCCAGACAGAACAAATCTTCTGTTAATGTTCCATATTGAAGAATATATCCTCCCTTTTCCAGATGTCATTTAGCTGTTATCTTTTGATCAAAATGAGAGGACCACAAAGGAGAAAGTTATATCCATCATGCTGCTATGCAATGCAAGTGAGATACCAGATCCATACAATCACTTCATGTTTCATGGGGTTAAAGTTGGTTAATCCATTAAATAGAGATGTTATCATGTTAAGGTGATCTTTTCTCCCAAAGTTGTATAGTACGAACTTTTGAGGTAGGAAAAAGAGGTTCTAAAATTTGCCACTACAGTATATTATGGAGGGCGTAAAGGAAACCTTAAACATGCTTTTATTGAAATTTTAATGTTGGCTTCTATTTGGAGGTTAAGGGACAGTTATTTTGATTTTTTTTGAGCTTATTTTTGGTTAAGAATCTCCTTTTCAGGCTGAAGTTATTTTTAAGTAAGTTTTCTAGTTATAGTTTGTGGAGCCATCACGGTGGCTCCTTTTTCAGTCTGTTTCATGGGTTGGCACTGTTTTGCGGTTTCTTGACCAGGTTTTTTCTTTTTGTTTTCTCTCAGCTTTGTGGTTTCTTTCATAGGATTTCTTATCTTCTCTTGTACTTTTTCCCTTCCCCTTTAATAATGTACCTCTTCCATAAAAAGAAAAAAAAAATCTACCCTACCTATGAAGCTCGATTTAGTTACTAAAAATGTGCATAATTAGAAAATATGCATCAGTGAAACGGTTGAATTTTGGGGTTCTCCACTCGTAGCTGTAGGTACTAGGTACAAAAATAGCCTAATAAAAACCAAAATGCATTCATTGAGAAGGAACTAACCTTTTCTTGGACCAAATCCCATAAAAGGCAGGCCTATAACTATTGTGAAACTGCAATAACTGTTTTCCCCGACAGCACTTCTTGGCAACAAGATAGGAACTATCTTCATTGGTTGGGTATGATCTGATATCACAATTATGTTCTCCAAATCCATCTACAGGCTTCTCCATGGCCAAGTCATCATAATGAGCTACTCCTGTGGTATCTGCCAGCTTAAGTTCCGTAAAAGGTTCAGACTTAGGTTTCAGACGTATGCCCCATCCCTGTTTTCTCTTTGAACGAAATGATTGACCTAAATGATGCCACAAAGAAACGTGTGACCTGCAAAGTCCGATAAATTTTTCCTGAGATATGAGAACAACAAAGCTTTGGTTAAACAGAATTATAAAAAGAAACTCACTTGCGTATATCCTCAAGAGTAATATCACTACTTGTTGCAAGAGTAGAATCCATTGACAGAGTAGTTAACTTATACACATTTTTACTCTTTGTGATTGATGGATCACATGTAACTGATTTAGTCGAGAATTGGTCATCCTGAAATGAGTGGCTAGTTTTGCTTCTTTTAAGAAAATTCTCCATGAATAAAACTTGCTTTTGTAAACTACGCTTCTCTTTCAATTTAGATGCTTCCTTCTCTCGCTGTCGCTGATCCTTTTCAGGTTGCTCTGGCTGCTTCTTTTTCTCTATCCTCTTTTTACGCATATCCTTTTCATCACATTTCTCATCTTTAATTGCCTCACCTTTCAACAATTTCAAATCCTTTTCCTGAAAAAATTGTGCAGTTGGTAGAGAAGACAGCATTTTCTTTCTTCCTTAAAAGAAGAAATTCATTAAAACATAGAAGATTACAAGGAATCTGAAGGATAAGGGATCATCCATAATGAAACAAGGGAATATAAAACAATAAAGAAAAAAAAATCCAATGGAGCAAAGCTAACCGATCCCTCTGCACATCTAGTGAGTGAACCCCCTTAAAAAGACATGTACTTTACGCCAAACAGAAACCAATCACCTAATGGTATCCCAAATCTGCTGCTGAGCCAAATAAACCCCCTACAAATTCAAGCGTTAGATTCCAATGAAATGCACCAAATAGTAGCATAGATTGCATATTGCCATAATAAGTTTGCCTCGTTATTTCTACCAAAACCTCCTATAAAGCTAGTCATTGGCACTTGGTTCAATGACCTAGGACACACCCAATGTATATTGAGAATGAATATATTTAACTAAACTTTATGACAAATATTGCCTAGTGACGCAAATAATCACAATGCTGTCAGTAAGGTAATCCATCCTAATTAAAACTTCTGCAAACACTTCTTTACTTTTTTGTTTTTCCTTTGTTCTTTTAAATTTTTTTCTTTGGTTATAAAGCAGGTCCAAAACCCCATGTGAGGAGGGAAGGCTGATGTGCAGGCAAAGAGGCCTGGCTAGGATCCAATCTGAGCATAAAGTAGTCTCCAGAGAAACTAGGTACCACTTATTATTTATCCTTAACACCTTACTAACAGGAATCTTCAAACAGAAAATATATGAATTTGACATTGGAAGGCCAACTCAATGAAGAAGGACCTTCATCTATAAATAACACATAACAGGACCAAACAGCACTTACAACAAGCAATGTTTTCCCTTGCAGTTCATTGTCCATGCTTTTGTTCCCTTTCTTCACTTCTCTTTTATGTCTATCCAATTGTTGAAGTATCGATTTCACTTCTTGTTTAGCTTTTGCTTGAGTCCTACACTTACAGAAAAAATTAGAAGAATCAACTAAAGGAAATTTATATATATGAATTAAAAATCAAATGTGTCAGCAACCCGGTGATCATGTACATGTCTACACTGTTTTTCTGCATTAAGGAATCCATTAAAAATCGGATATCTTCCTCGCTATAAGCTTTATCAAGCTCTGCTGATGCCTCTATCAAGCCATCACAGTAATTCTGTTCACTCTCTGGCTTCTTCAGTGACGATATCATTTCTGGAAAGGGACCAAAGTTATATAAAATAATCCACACACAAGTGAAATACCCCTTTCTCTGAAATTTATCAAAATCAAATTTCTGAAGAGTGGCAAAACATAATGATATTATGCAAAAAAAATGCATTATGGCATTTTAGTAAAAATATCAACCATATAGACCTTCTCACTTCTAAAATGAAGGTAAAAGAAATAATTCAACTGAATTTACAGACTATATGGATGAATTATTTTATTAGGAATACAAATTACAGAGAGAAAATATTAGTAATTTTTAATTTACATCTTTCATAAATACAGAAAACTAGTGTGGTGGAGGCTCAGGAATCAGGATTAGTTCCTCATCAGTTCTTATATTGCTATGCTGTTGTTTCTCTTTGAAATTCTTTGTTCATCCTTTCGGTGAACGTTGGGTGTACCCTAGGTCTGGGACCAATCTTTTATGATTATGTTTAATGGTTTTGGTAGAAGTAACGAGGCTAAGTTTTTGTGGCAATGTGCGACTACACTTTGGTGCATTTCATTGGAGCATAACTCTCATATTTTTAAGGAGGTCTCTTTGGTACAACAAGTTAAAATTCTGTGTTTGGCTTCCATTTGGAGTAAGCAAGCTAATTTTTTAGGCAATTTCCCTAACAGGTGTGATGAGAGATTTTTTCTTTTTCTTTTCCTAACTGATTTTACCGCTTATAGAATGAGGGATAGCCAAAACCAGTTATGTAAGCCAGGACATAAAGGTACCAGAGACGGCCGTTATTCTCTCGTGTATCATACTCCGGCAAGTACGACGAAAAATGAACAGTCCTCTAGCAGATGCTGGGATCAATTTGACATCCCTTGTCTGTGTGGCAATTCAATAAGTTTATCAATAGGCCAGCAAATGTAAACATGCAATAAACAAACATTAATAGTAGACATATCAAGAATTCTGAGTAGACATCATCAAAAGTAATGTGATGTAATAGAGTCTCACAGCATTCTAGCATCCTGGTGCAGAAGCAAAGCATCTATCTGCAATTTATCACAGGAAGCAGAGTATACTGAACAACTACACATGAACGGGAAGGGGTATGGGACTTAAGACGATTGGCAGTTAATTAGTAGCATACCGATTAGGTGGTTAGGGGAATCTCCGACGGAATTTACTGTGTCAGTTAGTTAGCATATCGGTTAGGTGGAAGAGAGGAAAATCAGGTTAGAACTGAGAACAGAGATAAAGACCAAGGGTGGAGTTACGAGAAAATAGGAGAGCAATACCATTGTACTTTCTACCATTCTTATCCGTCAGGATCCTAAACCAAGTTCTGGGAAGGGATTACAGTAATAAAGATTCAATTTCTATCTATTATTTCCAAATAAAGACTCTGTTTATTTCTGTTATTTCCTAATTCTTGAACCATTTTCTATCAGTATACTGAACAACTACACAAGAAGTCACTAATAAACAAAGGCGAGAGAAGAAGCGATTACTTCCCAACACCACAAGCAGGACTCGGAATGGTCCTCCAGTATATCAGCATCGTCATTGGTCACGCCGTACATGAGCCTCTGCCCCACGGAGATCACGCAACTCTTCACTGTGGCGTGTGTCACAGTCACAGGATCAGGATCCACCTTCTTCAACGTATCGTGAATCTCATCTACCAGCCTTGCCAATGGAAACTCGCTTTCCTCCAATAAAACCCCAACCGTCGCATTTCTGGAACCGTAATACCTCACATCCACGCCAACTTTCTGATTCTTCACCTCCTTGTAGTATCCAAACAATGCTTCAAGCTCCTTCTCAAAGGCTTCAATCCGTGTTTCTTTATCACCAGCAAACAGATGTTCCAACTTCCTCTTCCGCTTCCCGGTGGAGCCACCCTGACACTTAGTTTTTCGAGCATCGCCTTCCCCAGCATCCGCCATTTCCACTAAAAGAAGCAGGGAGAAAACCAATGCAAAAAGCGAAAGTGATTGCTATCAGCTTCAAACCCTAATTCCTTTCTCCCTTTCGTTCTGCTTAAGGCCCTGAGGATGAGGGAACTGAAGTGGTATAAGTGTTTCGCGCCATGCGTTCTTGGCTCCAGTTTTAACACCACAAAGCAGTCATGCTGCCACGTGGCACTTTCGTTTCTAATTCTAACTGACTTTTAATTATTGTTACCATAAATTCTTCAAAGATGTTTGATGGTCCATTACTCCATTTCCATAAGGGAGCACGATAAAAAAAATACTATTATGGTTAAGGATTGAGAATTGAAATCTCATATTGTAGAGATAAAAGCATGTGAGACCCATGTGTTAGAAAAAAATTATATGTAGGACCCATGTCAGCACGGAAATCGAAGGGTGTGTAGAAAAATTGTAATTCTAATGTTAAATGAGAATTATAAAACCCTATGTTTAATTCAAAATAGTATCAAGGTGGGGGTATTTTTTAAGGTGTGATTAATGGAGAAGGTTGTGCATTTGATGGTGGAATAAACAAGTTGAATTTAGAATTTGTTGCTGAGAAAATACTCACTAAAACATATTGAGGATAGTTGGATAAGGTAATGACATTGATTCGGTGCAACCTAATTGGATGAGAATTTGCTTGCAAGCTCCTTATTAGCTGGAGTGAGATGAGATGAGCCAACTGTTCAGCATCAGAAAAATATTGGGACACGTTGCCTCCTCTATTGTGCATTGTGCATTTTTGATGAGCGTGTCTTTTCTCAATACCTTTTCAAAGGAGTAGGTGGGGTATTTTTTCAATATGTGATTAAAGGAGAAAGTTGTGCATTTGATGGTGGAATAAGAAAGTTTAATTTAGAATTTGTTGCTGAAAAAACACTCACTAAAATATATTGAGGATAGTTGGATAAGGTAATGACATTGATCCGGTGCAACCTAATTGGATGAGAATTTGCTTGCAAGCTCCTTATTGGCTGGAGCGAGATGAGATGAGCCAACTGTTCAGCATCAGAAAAATATTGGGACATGTTGCCTCCTCTGTTATGCACTGCGCATTTTTTATGAGCGTGTCTTTTCCCAACACCTTTTCATAGGAGTAGGTGGGGTATTGTTCCAATATGTGATTAAAGGAGAAGGTTGTGCATTTGATGGTGGAAGAAAGAAGTTCAATTCAAGATTTATTGTAGAAGAAACACTCACTGAAATATGATGAGGATAGTTTGATAAGGTAATGATGTAGATTTAGTGTAGCTTGATTGGACGAAAATTTATTGGATGAGACGAGATAAGAATGAATCAATTACTCATCATAAGAAAATGTTGTACTGGGATGCGTTGCCTCATCTATTGTGTGCTACACATTCTCGGTGAGCATGTCTTTTCCCAACACCTTTTCATAGGAGTAGGTAAGGTGTTTTTCCAATGTGTAATTAAAGGGATGAGTTAAAGTATGCATAACAATTATTTTCCCCCTTTCCATTTCATTTCCATCCCATTGTGTAACAATGTTAATCTGAGAAAAAAATACGCTTTTATTGTGTTTCTTGGTTAACAATTTTCCCTTGACTTGTGTGATTATCATCGCTACCCGATACTAATTTTTCCTTTTGATCTACTCACATAATTAGTTGCGTACAAAATTGAGCACAACTTATGCAAAACATTGTGCACAACTCATGCGAAGCTACCATAAGACTATTGCGCACAATGTTGAAAAAATTTAATTATGGAAAAACTCTTAGTCTACTCTTAAAAAATTAGACGTATGTGTATTATAATTCCAAATTTTTAAAGAAGTGTAAATTGATCTTTATATTTATAGAAGTGTATATTTCGATCATTAATTGTTACCTTTGCAATTTAAGCATAACTATTGTTATCTCCAGATTATAATATATAATGAGAGATAACCAATACCAGTTATGTAAGCCAGGAAGATGATCAATATTCTCTTGTGTATCCTACTCTGGCAAATACGACAAAAAATGAACTGTCCTTTAACAAATTATGGGACCAATTTGACATCTATTGTCTTCATGCCAATTCAAAAAGTTGATCAATAAGCCAGCAAATGTAAACATGCAATAAACGAATATTAACAGTAGACATATCAAGAATTATGAATAAATATCATCAAAAGTAATGTGATTTAGTAAGGTCTCACAACATTTTGGTGCAGAAGCAAGGCGTCTGTTTGTGGTTTATCACAGCAAACAGAGTACACATGAACAGGAAAGGAAACGGGACTTAAGATTATTGGTAGCTAATTAGTAGCATATCAATTAGGCGATAGGAGTAATCTCCAGCGAAATTTATTGTGGCAATTAGTTAAGATAGGTGGAAAAAAAGAGAAGATAAGATGGGAGTGGAAAAGGGCTAAGTGACTCTTTTGTCCCTGATTAAAATAAATATTGTCACTTTGTTTCTGTTTTTAAATTATTCATAAATATTAATCTTTACTAAGATATAATATCAATATGTCCTTATTTGATTGTTGACTGGTCAAAGTACTCGAGAATATTACTCATGTACTCGAATAAGTTTCGAGGGAACGAGTTACTCGAGTACGAAACTCATGTACTTGAGTAACTCAAGAGTAATTGGCTTAGCTTGCAAAATATTTTTCTCTTCTCCTAATTTCTCTGAGTCTCTCTTCCTGCAACTCCCCCGCCTTAGAACCCCGGTGCCACTAACCCAACCTCATTGTTTTTCGCCATCACACTTGCACACCACTGTGAAACCTTCTTACATCAACTCAAATAATAACATCAATCCACCTTATCCCTCAACGCTATCATCCTCTTGTTTTTTTATTTTCCCATTTCTTTACTTGGGAAGCAACCAACAAAGGTTCTGTCTCTTCAATCTAGTAGCACCAATTTTTTATTTTGTTATCCCTAATAGCACCTATAATTTGCAATTTTAAAATCCCTCAAATAAAATCAATCCAATACAACATTAAAATGAATCAGGGGAAGTTCTAGAAACCCATCTCAATCCACCAAAATCAATTTTTTCAACAAACACATTTGCATTTTGAGGTTAATAAGCAGCACTTAGATGATGATTTTGGTTGGGAATCAGTAGAAGCAGCAGCATACCTTGTTTTCAATAAATAAAAAAGGGTTCTTAACCAAACAATGGATAAAAAGGAAGGGGGTCTAACGAAGTGAATGGTCTAGGCACGAGTAAAAGAGAAGGACAAAGGGTTTGTTGGTGCATTTCTCAGCCTTCTAATATGAGAAAAATAATGTACAACATAAAAAATATTATAATAAACTTTAAGTTATTTTATTTGTAAATGTCACAAAATTTAAATTACTTACATTAACACAAAAAATTAAAAAAATTTGCATTTTTAAAAAATAGGTACTAATGTTGTTTTCAAAATATGTACAGATCTAATGCAACTAGTTGCACATACTGTGCACGATGTTGTGCACAACTAGTTGCATGCCTAAAAAAAGAGGTTTTGAACTTGGGTGGTGGAAGAAGGAAGTTCAATTTAGGATTTGTTGCAGAAACAACATATTGAAACATGCTGAGGATTGTTGGATAAGGTAATGATGTTAATCTAGTGCAGTCTGATTGGAGGAGAATTTGCTTGCAAGCTCCTTATTGGTTGGGGCAAAATAAGGATGAGCCAACTGTTCAACATCAAAAAATGTAATATTGGGACGCGTTGTTTCATTTGTTGTGCGCTGTGCATTCTTGGCGAGCATGTCTTTTCCGAACACCTTTTCAGAAAAGTAGGTGAGGTGTTTTTTCAATGTATGATTAACTGAGAATGTTGTGCATTTGGTGGTGGAAAAAGAAAGTTCAGTTGAGGATTTGTTGTAGAAGAAACACTGATTTGAACATGCTAAGGACAGTTAGATAAGATAATGACGATGATTTGGTGCAACATGATTGGAGGAGAATTTTCTTGCAAGCTCCTTATTAGCTAGGGCAAGATAAGGATAAGCCAATTGTCTAACATCAGAAAATGTGATATTGTGATGCACTCCCTCGTCTTTTGTGCGTTGTGCATACTTGATGCGCATGTATGTTTCCTATATATAAAAAACAAGGGGACAAAATAAAAATACTATTATTTTTTATTCAAAATAGTATCAATGGAGAAAATAGCTACAAGCAATGATAGAAATTTCTAAATTTTTATTACTTTGTAAGTCAAGTTATGCTATTCTGATTATGATATTAGTCAAAAATCAATATGCCTATTGTTCTACTATCTTGATTATCATAAAAAATAAATAATTTCTACCACTTTATTATCCAAATTCTATTAGGTTAAAAAAAATATACAACATAAGAAATATTATAAATACCATAAAATTTTATTCACCTACATAATGCAAAAAAAAGACATTAATGCCATTTTCAAAATATGTACAGATCTAATGCAACTAGTTGCCCACAATATTGTGCGCTACTAGTTGCATGCCTAAAAAATGGAAGGTTGTGCGCTTGGTAGTGTAAGAATGAAGTTCTATTCAGGATTTGTTGTAGAAGCAACGGTCAATGAAACATGTTGAGGATAGTTGGTAATGACGTTGATATGGTGCGATTGATTGGAGGAAAATTTGCTTGCAAGCTTCTTATTAGCTCTGGTGCGAGATTAAGATCAACCAACTGTCCATTATTAGAAAACACAAATATTGGGACACATTGCCTCGTCTGTTGTATGCTGCACATTCTTAGTGAGCATGTTTGTTGCGTGCCTAAAAAAAAGTGAAGGTTGGGCATTTGGAGGTGAAAGAAGGAAGTTCAATTAAGGATTTGTTGCAAAAGCAATAATCACTAAAACATATTGATGTTAGTTGGATAAGGTAACAACGTTGATTTGGTTGCATCCAAATTGGAGGAAAATTTGCTTACAAGCTCCTAATTGGCTGGGGAGAAATAAGGATAAGCCAACTATCCAGCATAAGAAAATGCAACATTGGGACGCGTTTTCTCATGTGTTGTGAGCTGCTCATTCTTGGTTAGCGTGTCTTTTCCCAACACCTTTTCATAGGAATAGATGGGGTGTTTTTCCAATGTGTGATTAAAGGATAAGGTTGTGAATTTAAAGATGGAAGAAGGA